CTTCTCATAAAAATTCAATGATCATAATTATATCTGTTTGAAAAGCAGTTTAATTCCACTTCAGAGATAACAAGGTGTAGAGCTGGATGAACACAGCAGGCCAAGCAGCATCAGAGGAGCAGGAAGGCTGACATTTCAGGCCCCCCTCCCATTCCGCAGACGACATGTCCATCCTGGGGCTCCTGCAGTGCCACAACGATGCTACCCGAAGGTTGCAGGAACAGCAACTCATATTCCGCTTGGGAACCCTGCAGCCCAATGGTATCAATGTGGACTTCACAAGCTTCAAAGTCTCCCCTCCCTCTACCACATCCCAAAACCAGCTCAGCTCGTCCCCGCCTCCCTAACCTGTCCTTCCTCCCACCTATCCCCTCCTCCCACCTCAAGCCCCACCCCCATCTCCTACCTACTAACCTCATCCTGCCCCCTTGACCTGTCCGTCCTCCCTGGACTGACCTATCTCCTCCCTACCTCCCCACCTACACTCACCTTTACTGGCTCCATCCCCGCCTCTTTGACCGGTCTGTCTCCTCTCCACCTATCTTCTCCTCTATCCGTCTTCTATCTGCCTCCCCCTCTCTCCCTATTTATTTCAGAACCCCCTTCCCCTCCCCCATTTCTGAAGAAGGGTCTAGGCCCGAAACGTCAGCCTTCCTGTTCCTCTGATGCTGCTTGGCCTGCTGTGTTCATCCAGCTCTACAACTTGTTATCTCAGATTCTCCAGCATCTGCAGTTCCTACTAACTCCACTTCAGGTCTGGCATTTACAGGTGTGGCACAGCTGGACAAGTTTTCTCATTTCCCTGGGGTTTTTAATCTCAATTCTCAGTCGGACTCATCCATTCATTGGATTTGAAGTTAGCAAAGAAGGGATGGCCCTCATCATTGCCGTCAAGGAAGCTACCCACATGATGAAGCAGGTAATAGAATATTAATTCTCCCAATTCTAAGGTGACTTTGAACCAGGGATTTTCCATGGAGGATCTGTAGCGTCCATTGTAGAGAAGTCACCGAGGAAGTTGATCAGCCAATTAGCTTAAAAAAAATTCTCCCAGACAACAAAGCAGGAATTAAAAATCGTGGATTTTAATTCAGTCTTTAATCATTTTGCAACAAGTGAAATACAGTTTGAGGCAGACAAATGGGTCAAAATGTAAAACTTAAACATGAGAAACAGACTTTTACAAAGTACAAAAATTGCTTTCATTCTTCACAACTCACGCAATTTGTAAATTCTATTACAAGGCACTGATAGGGCTTAACATTTTGAATAATGTTTACCGAAAGGACAATGTGTAAGAAATCAAAGTTCACATCATTTTACCCGAAGATGTGTTGTTTGAATCTGTTAAAACTGCAACAGCGCAGCCTGTGGTACAGTATGGTATCCCTGTGAGCAAGAGACAAAAAAATTGCAGACGCTGGAATCCAAGGTAGACAAACAGGAGGCTGGAAGAACACAGCAAGCCAGGCAGCTGGAGTCCTGAAGAAGGGTAATACTCAAAATGTTGACTTTTCCTTTCCTCCAGATACTGCCTAGCTTGCTGTGTTCTTCCAGTCTCCTGTTTGTCATTCCTGTGAGCAACTTTTCCAGATTTGTAGGTTTAATGCATGTACGACTGTCAGGAATGTTGCTAGCAATTTTACACAGTAAAGGCAATGAATGAGGACAGCTTTGTCATTATCACAATGTTGGCTCATTCTGATTCACACCTGTCACACAATCCATGTTTTAGCTGGATAAGTTTGAATTTTAATAAAGCAAAAGAACTGACCTCTTTGACTATGAAAATTTTGCTAGCCAACACTACATATCCATGAGGCAACCCTGGGAGTGCCTTGCATCTAGATGAGTGGATCTCATAATAAGTCCATGAATGTGCTGGCAAAGTGGTTGGATTTGAAAGCAGGACTAAAAGTGAGATTTTTATTTTGGCCACATTCTTCCCAGCATCCATTTGACAGATTGGGCAGAATCAATGACGTTTGTGTGGATTGTGAATTCTGGTGTATGGGTTAAAAGTAACCTTCTCTTGCATTTCGTAGGTGGCAGTTATGAGCCATTGTCCCCATAATCCCTTCCATTCTTCTTTTGTTATTTCGTGACATTTGATTCATTATCAAACTTCCTTCAAAACGACACGGGGTGTTGTAAATTGGGGATGAGTGCATTATAAAGGATTTAGGTTGGTTCACTGGAATTTGTGATCGCAACTAATAGCTTGATTGCTCTCACTACAATTAGAGATTCTTACTGGCTCTTGGAGGTATAGCAATATATGTACGTGTGATATGCCATTAATAATTTTTGCAATGAGCCTGGCCTGTGAACACCTAGTACTTTGTTATTAGGAGAGACCAGCTGGGATTATGAATTGTGCGTAGGCTACCTGTCAGATTGATAGCTATAGACTCTGTACAAGGTGCAGGTTAAATTTGATGGGACTGGGAGTATATTTCAGCACCACTATGGATTCTGCAATGAGGTTTCATTCCAGGCAATAACAGCAATACCTAAGCAGTTATAGTTTGATAGGTCACCCTTCTTCGAATGCAGACAACCAGGATTGTTGTTGGCTTTGTGGAACAACAGATGAAGTGAAGCAACGCATTCATCTTTCATATTCTTGTCCATCAGAGAAGTGACTTTGGTAAAATCACTCAATGTATTTGTGAATATGATTGTTACAGTGCAGAGTGGGAAGCGTACCTTCAGTTATTCAAGGTTACAGTTGTCAGGGTTTACCGTTTGACTAAGGGGCCCGGAATTCCACTGGGTTTGTATGACTTCCAGATGGACTAACTCTGAGATTTCCAGCTCCATCCTTGTTTCTGGCAATTTTTGGATAAAAATAATGCAGTCAGCCTGCATGAAGCACTCTAGCTCTTAGTAGTTCCACTTCAGGAGAGAGAAGGTTAAACTCACATTGCCGTCTGTTAGCCCACCCTAACCCAGGTTGCCCTACCACCCCAAATCCCCCTCCCCTCCAACATCTCAAATCCTATCACCGTGCAGTCCATGTCACAGCAGAGCCCGTTAGCTTGGCATCTTGGCAGGTGCCAAAACATATACGGAAACCGTGATCCAAAGCTGACTGGGCTTTGATTGACTGGCAACTCCCTAAGGCTGAACCAAAAGGCCAGAAAATTCCAACTTGAGTCTATGAACAGCTAACTGGCTGTCAAAATGGTTGCTCGGTGCCTGGCACACCCCTCACTGGGCTCATCCATCAACATGACATTTTAACCAAAGGAGCAGATAATCTGGAGCCTTGTACAATACGGTACACAAAACAAATGCTCTCCATTTTGTCATAAGTAGTTAGTGACCCAAAAGCTGACCAAACGCTTTAATGTGAAATATGGCAGGTAGCAAAATGGGTTTGTTACATAAAATAATATGCCACCAAGGTGCAGAATTATTCTATATTTAATCCAACTCGGGTGAATGCCAAACTCAATACTTCCCGATGTTGGTAACTGTTCTATTGGATAAACATCAAAATGGAATATGAGCATCCCTGTTTGTTCACTCATTAGTGGGAGAATGTAGAGGAGTTTCTTTTTATACATTCATTGATGGGATATGGGCATTTATTGCATTTTATTGCATGGGCATTTTAAGAGTCAAACACATTGCAGTGGGTATGGAGTCACATGTAGGCCGGACAAAGTATGGATGCCAGTTTCTTTCCCTAAAGGACATTAATGAGCCAGAGCGATTTTCATGTGACAAACCACAATGGTCTTATGGTCATCATTAGACTCTTATTTCTAGATTATCATTGAATTCAAATTTCACCATCTGCCATGCAGGATTCAAACCCAGGTCCTCAGAATTTTGCCTCGGTCTCTGGATAAGTAATCCAATGATAATACCACTAGACAACAAGGTGCAGGGCTGGATGAACACAGCAGGCCAAGCAGCATCATAGGAGCAGAGAGGCTGACGTTTCGGGCCTAGACCCTTCATCAGAAAAGGGGGAGGGGAAGGGGGTTTTGAAATAAATAGGGAGAGAGTGGGAGGCGGATAGAAGAGGGATAGAGGAGAGGATAGGTGGAGAAGAAACAAACAGGTCGAAGAGGCGGGGATGGGGCCAGGAAAGGTGAGTGTAGGTAGGGAGTTAGGAAGGGGATAGGTCAGTCCAGGGAGGACGGACAGGTCAAGGGGGCGGGATGAGGTTGGTCGGTAGGAGATGGAGGTGCGGCTTGAGGTGGGAGGAGGGGATAGGTGGGAGGAAGAACAGGTTAGGGAGGCAGGGACAAGCTGGACTGGTTTTGGGATGCGGTGGGGGGAGGGGAGATTTTGAAACTTGTGAAATCCACATTGATACCATTGGGCTGCAGGGTTCCCAAGCGGAATATGAGTTGCTGTTCCTGCAACCTTCGGGTGGCATCGTTGTGGCACTGCAGGAGGCCCAGGATGGACATGTCGTCTGAGGAATGGGAGGGGGAGTTGAAATGGTTCGCGACTGGGAGGTGCAGTTGGAGGTGCTCGGTTCGCAACAAACAACTGCACCCTTCCCCTCCCCCTTTTCTGATGAAGGGTCTAGGCCCGAAACGTCAGCCTCTCTGCTCCTATGATGCTGCTTGGCCTGCTGTGTTCATCCAGCCCTGCACCTTGTTGTCTCGGATTCTCCAGCATCTGCAGTTCCTACTATCTCTGATTCGATAATACCACTAGGCCATTCTCTACCCTTAAGTAGCTGTCCTTACAATGATTTGACTGCATTATAAAATGTAACTTGAATACAGGGTCACGATGTAGTTTCTGAATCTCTTGCTAAAATGATGTTCTGTCAAATAAAGGGAGAAGTAAGATCCAACCGAATGTCTCCTCAATCTTGCAAGAAGAAGTGTTCTGGTGCTGCCTTAATACTGGACATCATTAAATCTGCATTTGATACTGTTGTCTGGTCTGTTCTGTCTTACAAGCTATCATGTCCAGTAAGGACATCAACTCTTTAGGTAACAAAGATTGCACAGGAATAAAAAAACTTGTATCAGATCAACAACTTTCATTTTTATAGAAAAACATCACAGGAGCTTCATCAGACAAAGATGAACATCAAGTCAAAGAAGAAGAAATCAGTAAGTCTGAGCAAGAGCTTCTTAAAAGAGCTGTTAATTAATGAGTATTTCAGTGGATAGGGAGGGAGTGAGGCATTAGCATTTATGAAGAAGCTTCACATCATGGGGCCAAGATGGCTAAATGTACTCCTGCCAAAGCGAGGATGGGATGTACGAAGTGTTAGAGACAGAGTAGCAGCAGAATTGTTATTTCTGAGTATACTTGGGAGGTGCTCAACTCATTGTGTATTGTAGACAATAACATTGACATTAAACTCATAAAGAATCACTTTACAGCATTCAGTAGGAAGCCTACCAGGATCCAATGTTTTGACAGTACGATTAAATGTTATTTGTATCTCCAAAGGCAATTAATTCGAATAATCTTGGTAAAAAATCACACAGTTCAATTCAAATTTTTTTTAAAAAATGGAATGGGACCTGATCAGAAAAAGACCCAGGCCAGCAATACTGTCAACACAGTTACACTAGCTTTTGCAGTGCAAGACAAATTCACACCGTTATTCAGCATCAATTTCACTTGGGACCAAGTACCATTGTTTGGCAATGGGTTTATTCCAGCAACATGACACATGATGTTGTATACATCAACTACTCTCATTGGAGGTGCCTTGTAATTTGACCTGAAATCTGAACATACAAAAACAGAATTAGTCATTAAATTCTTTAATAAAGTTTAGCATTTTGGCCACTGTCAAAATTGGACACTATTTAAAAAAATTACCTTATAGCATCGCAATTTGAGATATGCACTGGTGAAAAACAGTCTTTAAATTCACTCAGAGATAGTTAGAACTGCCGATGCTGGAGTCAGAGATAACACAGTGTGGAGCTGGAGGAACACAGCAGGCCAGGCAGCATCAGAGGAGCAGGAAAGCTGATGTTTCGGGTCAGGACCCTTCTTCATTTCACAGCTCCACGCTGTGTTATTTTAGTCTTTAAATTCATGCTGGGAATCGCTTTGGCAGCCTTTGATGTGTATTCATTCCAAATCTGTTATTTAGTTTGTTTTCACATTTGTTGTAAATTTGTTTTCATATTGAACCACTTAGCACTAAAGAATTTGGCAATGTATTTGCAAATCAATAATAATGTGTGAATTGGAGGAGAACTTAGAAATTGTACTATTCCTTTAAAACTTTGTTCATCCATCCTGATGGGAGAAAGCTAAAGAAAGCATGGGCTATTGCAACCACTTCAGAATGGTTGTATTGCATCTATGTGTTAATTGTACTTCATTGTATAGAGACTGTTGGGATTTACTGAGAATTCAAAGGTGCGCCTATAAACAGGAATAGCAGAGTGTATCATCACACCCAGAAATGTTGCTTCAATTTAAGTTGATACATTTCTTTCAATGTTTCTGCTTTTGTTACAATGGAATAATGGAACAATGCCCCTTTCAGAAGAGGCACTTAATTTATTATGGAGTCCAAAACAAACCTGGAAATGGGAACAAACTGGAAGGATGGTGGTTAGTTTATGAGTTGCAAAGATGTTTACTGGTGAAATTCCAGAACATACTGTCTTGATTTCTGAACATGCAATTGTCAATCATTTGGAATGCAGTGGAGGACATGCAAAAAGCCTAAAATACATTTCACTGCATGGTTTATCATGTAAGAAAATATATAAATTTAAATTGTATTTGTTAAACTTACATGTTATATTGTAAAATTCTCTTCTGAAGGTCAACTTACAAATATGTGAATGGTATCAAATGATTACCTGGTCCATAGGCCAGAAAGAATCCTTTCATATCCATCAATTCATTGTCGTAGCCATGCCATCCGTGCTGCCAACCCTTCTTGCCATCTGTTCCATTGGCCCAATAAGGCAACTTTTGTATATTCTGAAAGATAAATGGCAAAAAAAGACCGCGAATTGCTAGAGAATAATCAAAAAAAATTAACTATATCTTTTAGTAATTGTCATTCTAAAAATACACACTGGAAAATGTGACTGAAGCTTAGAATCTCCTTTTGCCATTTACACCGCCTTTAGCCCTATCAAGGAGGTCAGTTAGTGCTGATAACTGGTTTGTGATGCAGGGTGACACCAACAGGGTGGATTCAATGCCTGTACTAGCTGAAGTTACTATGGAGGACTTTCCTTCTCAACCTACTCCCTTGCTTAACGTGTGGTGACCTTCAAGTTAAACCTCCACCAGTTGTCTCTCTCCAATGAGACAGCAGCCTTACAGTCTGATTAGATTATGCTGACCTCACCTCCACTATTTATTTTCTTACTTGTCCCTTTATCGTCCTTGTTGCCTTGCATCAGCATTCAATTACTCCTGCTGCTTTCCCCTTTTCACAGACCTTCCCTTTCTAATCTGCACACTTCCGCCCATTTTCCTGCCTCTGCTTAAAGTCTGTTAAATCCGTACATTTTTCCAATTCCTACGAAAGAGCATTGATATGACGCTCATGTTCGTCTCCTCACAGATGCTGCATGACCTGTGAGGGTTTCAAATATTTTCAGTTTTTACAATGAAAACTCTGCTTATTTCAGCAGGTTTCTAACCTTCCCAAGAAAGCTCTATTTCCAAAAAATCGGACCTTGAGCAATTCTTGAGAATGTCATTTGTTTTCAGCGCTAATTAGAAATAACAGAAATGCCTTCAGGAAAGCCAACTGAAGAAGAGAATGCATTAATGGGGATGTCTGAATGTCTAAAGGTTTAATGATTGACTGTTACTTTGAACAGATCCATCCAGATTCTGAATAATAATGACTCTATGGGCAATGGACAACAAAAATCTATTCTTGAAGCAAACATTAGAACAGAGACAAGGAGAAAATTCTTTAGCCAGAGAGTGGTGAATCATATGGAATTCACTGCCACAGAAGGCTGTGGAGGCCAGGACATTGAGTATATTTAAGACGGAGATAGATAGGCTCTTGACTGTCATGGGGATCAAGAGTTACCGGTAGAAAACAGGAGAATGTGGTTGAAAAACTTATCAGCCATGAGTGAATGGCAGAGCAGACTCGATGGGCTGAATGGCCTAATTTCTCTTCCTGTGTCTTATGGTCTTATTTAAACAGTGGCTTATTTTGCTCTGTTTTAGTATTCCAGACTAAGTTAAGGACCATGCTCCCTCCAGTTCCAAGTTGCAATAAATTCTGATTCCATATCTCCATAAATGCAGTCACCTTGAGTTGTAAATGTGACCTTTTTGGAACAGAGTTACATGACGCTAATTGAAATTTATTGTCATGATTAGGTATGAATTGTGATGACTCAGAATATTCTGCCAGAAAAAGATAAATCTGAGACAGATTTATTAGTTCCTGCATTTATATTTATCAGCTCACAGAAGGAAATCAGCATGGGAATCACATGCGAGTAATAAGCACCAGCCCCTGCTTTTCTTGAAATAGAATTTATGGTCTATTTGAGTGAATAGATCTGCACTGACATTTCTGCTCCACATTATCCTATTCCCTCAGTTTAAATAAGTGGAATGAAAATCAGGTCCACTTCCATCCTCACCCAATTTTCCTCAACTTCTTTTACTCATGTGATGGAACAAGAAACTGTAGGGCTATAGTAAACTGAATGAGCCAAATTTCACATAACATGAAGATTTGAGTCAGAAATGCAGATGCATACTTCCATTCTGACAGGTCCATTTTAGCATTGAACAGTTTGGAAAGCAAATAATACCCGCTTTTTGCACATCAGTCAGCTGCCATATTCTGAAATGTAAACCCCCAGCAGCACAGACAGCCACCTTGACAACTTCTTTGAAAGGACAAGTACATAAGCTCGTGTGAAGTCGGATTCCCAGACAGTAATGGCCACAGTGCCAGGTGGGTCAGGTGCTGGGGAAGTGCGGTGCTGGGGATGAAGTGCAAGGTTGGTAGGGTGCCAAGTGGGTAGAGTATCAAGGAGGCATGTGTCAGGTGGGTAGGTTGCTAAGTGGCAAGGAATAAAAGCAAGAGATGGAGGTGGGTGGTGTTGGCTACTGGGGTGTGATGAGGGAAGTGTTGTGTCTGGCTGCAGTAGTTAGGTCCCAGAGGGTCAGGTGTGACAGCAAAGCCGGGTATTCAGGTCCTGAGAGCAAGGAGGTTGTCAGTTCCAGGAAGGGGATGATAGCGGGCCTGGCTGCAGGGCACGAGTGGATGGGTCCTGGAGGGATGCAGTGGAGGTGGGGGTGTCAAGTGGCAACATTTTCTGATGTTGCCAAGGCTCATGTTTGTCACTTTGCATCCCATGCAGGAGGAGATAGGGTTGGGGAAAGGGTGTTGCGTTTGGTAGCCAGAGAGGAGGGAGGTCCGGACCACTGGAAGGGGCAAGGAGTTTATCAGGTCACAAGGGTTGAGTATGGAGAGGGGAGTGTTCTCAGGGCAGCTGGTGTGTGGGCAAGGGTCAGAGTCTAGGGGTACAGGGAGATGTCAGATCCAGTGGTGGGGAAGTAGGAGTGTTGACTCATGGTGAGACAGAAGGGGTGTATCGGGTTCTGGGGGGTGACCATGGGAGAGTTGGGTCCAGGGGTATAAGGGGTGTTTGGGTCACAGTGTGGGGGTGTAACTCTCTGGGGGAGGTTTAGTTAGGGATCAGTTTAGTAATTACTCGGGAGTTTATCTAGAAATTTAACAGTCTAAATTCTCCTGCATAACTATTTATTAACTGTGGTGGAACCCTCCAAATTCTTCAATTTAAATGGGTATTTCCAGAAAGTTCCTTGCTTGGGGAATTGCCCAGCAGCATCTTCAATTTCCCAACTTATTCCTCCAGAGTATGCTACACCTTTATTTTTGGACTGCAGCGGTTCAAGAAGGCAACTCACCACCACCTTCTAGGGACGGGCAATAAATGCTGGTTGCTCAGCATCGCTCACATCCTATGAATGAATAAAACAAAAGCCAAGGATTCCACAGGCTCCCCACACACACTTCGCATCTACACTGCAGAAACAAATATCTGGCTGTTGGAAAATGCAGGTCAACGTCAAATCAGGAATTAATCTGAAAATCAAGGAACACAACAAACAGCTACGTTTCCTTGCTTGTGATCCGAACAACCCTTTATTTTAGTTCCGTATTTAACTCCACGAGTAGGATAATGAACTCAGCACTTCAGAATCATGGTCATTCAGCTGTAGCTGGTGTCAGCCTAACGTGACAGGTCAAAATCCATTTATAACACGGGATTTCTGGAAGCAGTTGCAACAAGACTGTAACCATTACAAGCAGCATAATTCTACAATCTACATAGCATTGAATACAGAACCGTACAGCACAGGAACAGGCCGTCAATCCACAATGTTGTGCTGAACATGATGCCAAATTAAAATAATCCCTTCTGCCTGCCCATGGTCTATATCCCTCCATTCCTTGCATACTCATGTGCTTATCTAGAAGTTCCTTAAATGCCCCTATCATATCTGCCTCCACCACTACCCCTGGCAGTGCATTTCAGACACCCACCACTCTCTGTGTAAAACCTTTCCTCTCACATCTCCTTTGAATCTATTTGACATTAAAAAATAAAAGACTCACAGGCTGTTAGATCAGTAAATTAGAATTATCCACAATAGCACGGAACCCTACTAACAAACTTGCATTCAAGGCATAGATAAACTGTGTTTAGATATGATAAACAATCTGTTGTTTGGTTTACTGCTCTGACACAAGTAGTTATAAAGCCAACTATTCACTACATTAATACTTGGAAGTTCAAGGTATTGCTGGCGTTTTATGACTGTCTTTTGCATGATGCAGTTATGTATTTATCTGTAGCTCCATGTCTTTCACTTATGCTTATATTTAATGTCAAATGTCCTTTGTACTTTGAGATTGGAAAGAACAGTATTCAATCATAAATGTGATTAGCCTGTATAATTAAACTCTTACTATCAAGAAGCATACCAAAGTCAAAAATTCATTAGCTTGTATTTCTGATTTGGCTTTACATTAAGGTTGTGCAATCTAAGAAGTGGTAACAATCAAATGAAGTTGGAACAAATTCCTCTGTCATGTATATTCAAGTCCATGCCTTGAATGCAAGTTTGTTAGTAGGGTTCCGTGCTATTGTGGATAATTCTACTTAAAGAATTTGACTGTACAATGTCACCAGCTTCCAATATCAGGGAAAATAAATCTCTTTTTGGCTTGGTTACATATTCACTTCTGCTAATATCATTTTATTACTGTATCACATGACAATGCCATTACCAACTGAAGCAATTTGAGACATTGTGGCATGGTCACTCAGTGGTTAGCTCTGCTGCCTCACAACACCAGGGACCTGGGTCCAATTCCAGCCTCGGGCAACTGTCTGCGTGGAATTTGTACATTCTCCTTGTGCTCCGGTTCCTTCTCTCAATCCAAAGATGTACAGGTTAAGTGGATTGGCTGTGCTAAATTGCCCAAAGTGTCCAGGGATGTGTAGCTTTGGTGGATATGTCATGGGAAATGTAGGGTTATAAGGATTGGGTAGGGGGGTGGGTCTGGGTGGGATGGTCTTTGGAGGGTTGTTGTGGACTCGAATGGGCTGAATGGCCTGCTTCCACACTGTAGGGATTCTATGAAGATCTCTCAAGTGAGCCAAATACTTCATACAAGATGATGAATTATTGAATTCTCTACCTTAATTTCAAATGCTAGTTCTGACAAAAGCCAGCTAATTCAAGGAATTAGTTCTGAGGAAGGGTCACCAGACCCGAAGCGTTAACTCTGTTTTCTCCTTCACAGATGCTGTCAGACCTGCTGAGCTTTTCCAGCAACTTTGTTTTTGTTCCTGATTTACAGCATCCGCAATTCTTTCAGTTTTTAATTCAAGAAAAGCAAACATTTCGTGACTTCTAAGAGATGCAGATGTACAGAATGCACAAAATGAATACAAGCTTGTCAGTTCACATTGCAAACAAGAAGACTTTGTGACTTACAAAACAATTTTATTCCACCATACCTCAGCAATAAACCAGCCTTTCTGAGCCAGCAGAGTAAGTGGTGCGACAAATTTCCCACCTTTATAATGATATTTGTCTGGAATTTCATCTTTCTTGTACACGCTCATCTCTTTAACTTTTTTAAGGTTGCTGTACAGCTGGTAAAATCAAAGAAATTTTGTCAGTTACATATAGTTGAGTCTCCTCATTCAAAATACCTCAATCAAACTGAAGTTCCCATTACTAAAAAGCCATGTTTAAATGGTTTACAAAATGAATAATTTCATTTCGGAACAGCTGCAAGGCAGTCGGCTCCTGTATTTTTCCACAAGATTCAGTCCACCAAGACAAACTAGAGATGACTACTCAACAATGTGAAAATTAATTGAGTTGTGTGATGTGAAAAGTCCACAGCATTTTTCAAATTGTTGCTAACTGTTTATTGTAGGAGTGAGGAGCTGCCTTTAAACAGATTTAAAGTATTATTTAGCCTTTGTGCACAGACAAATGAAAATTTGAATGTGAAATCTGCTGATATTTTATTTGTGACATTGAAAGCATGTTACAGGCTAATTTGGACAAAACAGGCAAGGACATTAAGGGTGAAGACTTGCAGTATTATGCTGATCTGATCTCTAGACCATACAATATTTGTGCTCATCTGATAGAAATGTCTTACTTCTGAGAAGAAGATCATATTAAAATATTCACATAGGTTCAACTTATCCCATTCTTTCCTCCATAGTTTAATGTGCTCTATGTTATAACACCAATTTATACACATCACAGATTTTCCAAATTTGATTACTGGTCTGTCATGAGTTAGCTGATTATAGCCAATATGGTAGTTCAGAGGACTACAAGGTAGAGTTATTAAAAGTACAGTGATTGCCAATAGGTTTCTCAAACCATTTGTCATTAATCCTGTACTTAAAGAGAGTATCAGACAAAAGATGAAATGTGAGAGTAAGCTAGCTAATAATATGAAAGAAGATGGCAAAGAGTTGTTAGGTATCTAAAAGATAAGAGAGGGGCAAGAGTGGACATTAGACCACTAGAAAATGTACTGGAGATGTAGTAACGGGGAACAAAGAAATGGCAGATGAACTGAATAGGTACTATGCATTAGTTTTCACTGAGGAAGAAACCAGCAGCACACCAGAATTTCAAGAGAGTCAGAGAGTTCTAAACTAGGGATCATTTTTTAAAGTGAGAGGAGAAAGATTTAAAAAGGACCTGAGAGGCAACTTTCTCACACAGAGGGTGGTTTATATGTGGAATAAACTGCCAGAGGAAGTGGTAGATGCAGGTACAGTTACAATATTCAAAAGACATTTGGAAAGGTTTAGAGGAATATGGGCCAAACTCAGACAAATGGGACTAGTTTAGTTTGGGAAACTTGGTCGGCACGGATGAGTTGGAACAAAACATCTGTTTCCATGTTTTATGACTCCATGAGTGTAGTGGCCATCATTAAGGAGAAGGTGCTGGTGAAGCTGATAGGCCTGAAGGTGGATAACTCATCCAGACCGAATGGACTACAGCTCAGATCTCTGAAGGTGATAGTTGAGGAGACTGCAGAGGCATTAGTGGTGATCTTTCAGGAATCACTTAAGCAAGGGATTGTAATGGCTGTAATGGCTAATGTAATACCCCTGTTTAAGAAGGGTGGGAGGCAGAAGACAGCAAACTACAGGCCAGATAGCCTGACCTTGATAGTTGGTAAGATTTTAAGAGTCCATAATTAAGGATGAGACTGCGGAATACTTGGAAGTGCATGGTAAAATAGGGTTGAGTCAGCACAGCTTCATCAAGGGGAGGTCATGCCTGACAAATCTTTAGAATTCTTTGACAAGGTAACAAGCAAGTTAGACAAAGGAGAGCTACTAGATGTGATCTATCTGGATTTCCAGAAGGCCTTTGACAAGGGGTGACACAGGAGGCTGCTATATAAGACAAGAGCCCATGGTATTAGAGGCAAATTACTGACACGAATAGAGGATTGGCTATTTGGTAGAAAGTAGACAGTAGGGGTAAAGGGGTCTTTTTCAGGATGGCAATTGGTGACTAGTGGAGCTGTGCAGGCATCAGTGTTAGGACCACAACTATTTATGTTGTATATTAACGATCTGGATGAAAAAGCTAAGGGCATTGTTGCAAAGTTTGCAGGTGACACTAAGATAGTTGGAGGGCCAGGTAGTGTTGAGGTAGCAGAAGAACTTGGACAGGCTAGGAGAGTGGGCAAAGAAGTGGCTGATGGAATGCTGTTTATGAAAGTGTGAGGTTGTGCACTTTGGTAGGAAGTATAGAAATTTAGCCTATTTTCTAAATGGGGACAGACTTCTGAACTCTGAAACACAAAGCAACTTGGGAGTCCTAGTTCAAGATTCTCTTAAGGTTAACATGCAGGTTCAGTTGGCAGTTAGAAAGGCAAATGCAATGTTAACATTCAGTTCAAGAGGGCTAGAATACAAGAGCAGAAATGTACTGTGTGGAATATTGTGAGCAGTTTTGGACGTCAAATCTATAAAAGGATGTGCTGGCCTTGGAGGGGGTCCAAAGGGGGTTTACAATAATGATCCTGAGTATAAAGGGCTAGTCATATGAGGACTAATTGAGGACTCTGGGTCTGTCCATGATAGAGTTTAGAAGGACGATGGAAAGTTGATTGAAACTTACAGAATACTAAGAGGCCTGGATACAGTGGACGTACAGAAAATGTTTCCACTAGTAGGAGAGACTAGGAGCTGAGGGCACAGCCTCAGAGGGAAAGGTTGAAGCTTTAGAATTAAAACAAGGAGGAATTTCTTCAGCCAGAGGGTAGTTAATCTGTGGAACTCATTGCCACAGAGGGCAATGGAGGCCAAGTCACTGAGTGCATTTAAGACAGACGTAGATAGATTCTTGATTGGTAAGAGGATAAAGGATTATGGGAAGCAGGCAGGAGAATGGGGTTGAGAAACATATCAGCCATGACTGAATGGCAGAGCAGACTCAATGGGCCGAATGGCCTAATTCTGCCTATGTCTTCCAGTCTTATACATAATCCTGATATTCATACAGGATGCTTTCCTGCTGAGAGCATGGCATTGGCAAATTTTCTCAATGCAAATCAAACTGACAAATCTTGAAATCTATCCTCAGATCCCTTGTTCCTCTCATACATTGCAATTACTTTGTTGCCTACCTCATTCAGTTTTCCTTCTTGAGGCCACAAACTGACTATAGGCCCTCGATCCATCATGTTCAATACATCTGACATCTTTATATATTTATCAAGTTCAATGACCTTCTCCATCCAGAAAATGTCAGTCATTCCATGGTCCGAAAACAGCATAACATTCAATTCATTCTGGAGACCCACTTCCTGCAAAATGTGCAAATGAGTAAGTCCTGAACTTGGTTTCTCTTTCCATGTATTGCAAGAAGAAGTTGCAAACAACTTACAGCAATTTTACTGCTGTAAAATTAAAACAAAAAGTTGTTGCATAAATGCTAGTCTTTTGTTTCTTATAATTCCTCAGAGTAAAAGATGTCAACCTACTAAACACAGATGAAACTGGTGAAACTATATTCATAAATATTAGAGTAATAACTGGATTTAGGCTGCTTTTCTCTACGTATTTCTGAAGTACATCAGCAATATGTGTCCTTAATATGTGCTGGAGATGAAGGAGGTTACTAGCTACTCTGTAAGCTGAGGAAATGTATGCTTAAGTACACACCATGTGCCAGTGCTGCAGCTTTACTCAGAACCCTGACCCACAACCTGCCAATCTGGCATTTCAGTTGCCTAGGTAAATTCCTCAAGCAGAGAGCCAGGTCAGATAAGGATGGGCTGAATGACCACCTTCCGTACTGTAGTGATTCTATTAATTCATAAATAATGCTACCAATTGCAACATCATGTTGATACATAAAGAGGTTTATACAATAATATTTAGGGGCAGTAAATTTAGGGTAAAAGATGTGATGTATCCTGCAGTCACGTGCCTTATCCAGTCACAAGTCTGGCTGGTATGGTTATTAGAGGTGAAAGAAAGGCTTATAAGGATTTACTGAGAAAATGATGCAGGGTAAACTGAGATGGTACATAGTGCACTGAGAAGACAAGATAGTTACACTTAGTGACAATGCCAACCCTCTTTGAGTTTAACATGAGTAAACTTTGAGTCTCCCAAAATCCCAGAAGATAGTAGAGGTATTGGGTTGCATATTGTACAGCTGCACATTTCAAATCCTTTCCAAGGTGAAAGGGAATTAAGGTCAAAAACAACACTATGGTTTACACTGAACACTCAAGAATGACATCTTCAAACCGCCACAGCATTGTTTCTAGAGAAGCAATTTGATTTCACATTAAAGGATCAGTCTCACCCTGCTTCAATTCTGTGCTAGCAGCAGTATAATTGTAAATGATACAAAGCAAATTTTGAAGAGATCCATTTCAGTACTTTTCTGGCATAAAAATATAACGATATCTAATTATTAGCGAATCTGTGTTTAGTAGGTTGACATTTTTCACTGTGAGGAATTATAAGAAACAAAAGACTTGCACTTATGCAGCAACTTTTTGTTTTAATTTTGGTTCATCCCAAAGTGCTTTACACCTAATGAGGTACTTATGAAGTGTAGTCAGGTTGTATACTTGCTACATGTTATCCATGGATCTGCGTAGTCACAAGGTCAACCCCGGATGTGATCTTTTCTTACCTCACTGACCAATCAGGTCTGAGCTTATAGTCCTTCATGGTAGATAGGGGATTTACATTGTAGCAGTCTCCACATTTTTTGTTATATGTAGGAGTCCATGCCCCCATCCCCTATGGGTAACAAGAATTTGGTGTGACGCAGGAAATGTCATAGCCAACTTGTACACAGCCAATTTCCACAAACAACAATGTAACACAGTATGATGGCCAGATAATCTTTCATGTCGATTGAGGGATAAATATTCCCCAGTACACCAGGGATATATCCCCTCCTCTTCTTTGAGTTAGTGGCTCTTGAAACTTCATGTGAGAGAACAGATGGGACCTCAAGTCTCCAACAAAGCAGCACTCCCTCAGTATTGCACTGGCACGTGAGTTTGGATGTTTGTTTCTCGTGTTGGATTTGAACCTACAACATTCTGACTCATATGACTGAATCTCATTTGTTCAGCCCTGGCCAACATTGATTTGTTAAGGCTTAAGTGTCTGTACATTGGGTAGTTGTAAATTTTTCTGATAGTATAAAAGGGCTGACTTGAAAGAAACATTAACTTCAATGGAAATGAAATGTGGCAGGATATAAAACAGATTGCCGATCACTATCGCATATTTTATACAATCACACAGAGTCAACATAACCTTTTGGGCCTCTAAAGGTGTGTTCAAGCATCTGCTGTTTGAAATAAAAAGTAAATCTTCTCAGAAGTATAATTTTATTGATGAAGCAATTAGTGCATATATTGACATTTGTCATTTTTCTGACCTTAATTTTCATGTTCATGTTTCTTAAAGTCTCATCCAAAGCTTTGGTGGCTTCCTTTCTCTGCTTTGACCAAGGGCCAAAATGATGACCTTCAACATCATTGCGTTCATAGTACACTGCGGCCATGTCTGCTTTCCCCTGCCTAATGAGAAAACAAGATAGTTAATTAAAGGCAGATAGCAAGAACTGCGATGCTGGAGTCAGAGACAACATGGTGTGGAGCTGGAGGAACACAGCAGGCCAGACAGCATCAGAGGAGCAGGAAAGTTGACGTTTTGGGTTGGGACCCTTCTTCAGAAAATGATCCCAACCCGAAACGTCAACTTTCCTGCTCCTCTGATGCTGCCTGACCTGCGGTGTTCCTCCAGCTCCACACTGTGTTATCTCTAACTAATTAAAGGCAGCCCTTTCTTTAACAGGTACAGATCCACTTCCCGTTCATGTCATTGCGATATTTTTGGGACCACTGCAACATACTAAATGGCTTAAAATTGTTTTTTTTCTTGTACAGGTGAAGATTTTGCTGTCAAGTCCAGTATGAGTTTCCCATTCCTAATTGCCCCCTTTGAACTGACTTGTGTACTAGGCCGCTTCAGAGGGCAGTTAAGAGTTAACAACATTTCTGTGGTATTGGAGTCACATGTGGACCAGAGCAAATAAGGACAACAGGTTTCCTTCCCTAAAGGGCATTAGTGAACCAGTTGAGTTCCTATGACAACCAGCAACGGTCACACGGATACCATTTGACGAACGGTTAAACTCCAGACTTTTGTTGAATTCAAATGTCACCATCTACAGGTGATTTTCTAACCCATGACCCAGAACATTAGCCTGGGGTTAACTGACATGATCATTATGCCACTGCCTCCCTCATTAGAAATATTGGAAATGCTTCACAATTTGTAGCTATGTAATAATCAGGTCCTCCTGGAAGTTTCACACTACATCAAGAAATTCACAAACGTGATGTGACCATGATCCCTTTCTGACATAACCAAATGATGATGATCTATAAGGGATCTAGTACAATGGCATGGATTCCAGATACATCTTTCCCTGGAATTACAGGAAACGATGACTTTTGGTAGATACTGTTTCGTCAGATTACCATTGTATTATCTGTCAGCCAGGACATGTTCCAACAATATATTAATCATATCATCAAGGATCTGCCAGGATGTCTCTGTAGCGCAGTTCAGACAAACCTTCATCAGCTCATGATAGCAGCAAGGAACCATGGTCTTGTTTTTGAAAGTGAAATTCATCAAATTAAAATTAGCTAAATCAATTTCTTCAGTTCAATCTACTTGTCAACTAGTATTAGATCTAACCAAAATGGAAGATGTATGGAATATACCTCTTCGGGTGGGTTTTTTTTAAACATTTTATCTGAATGTGTTCCAGACATTGTGAACAAGATGTCCCCTTTAAGATTTCTTCCACAAATCACACCACACATACAGCAGGAAGATCACTGATGTATTTTTAATCTCTCAAAAATGTTTTATCATCGAGCAATATTATGATTTCTCAAAGGTGACCATGTTGAAAGTAGATACACTCCAGATGTCCATCGCTGGGTGGCAAGCCTGTTTGTTTCCAAAATCCTTGTGATACCTCAGGCTAACTGACCCAACACTGAAAGAGAGATTCTTGTTTTAGTTTTTGAAAAACATACATGCTCAGTATGCACTTCACCTACTTGTGTGCTTGTGCCAGAGGTTTGGAAAAATGCAAACATTATGCCTTTGTTCAAAGTGGGTTATAAACTTCGGCTCAGTGAATGCAGAGTAGTCAGTTTAACGTCAGTGAAGCAGAAACTTCGAAAAAACCATTATTCAGGATAGAATTAAGACCATAAGAAATAAAAGCAGGAGTAGAGTAGAGTATTTGGTCCCTCAAGCCTGCCCTGCCATTCATGACTGATCCGATATTTCCTCTTGTCCACTAGCCTGCCTTTACCGCGTAACACTTCATTCCCCTACTATCAAGAATTTATCTATCTCAGCTTTAAATGTATACAAGGACTCTGCTCCCACAGCTCTCTGTGGCGAGCACTTCCCAACACTCAAAACCCTCAGAAAGAAGAAATTCCTCCTCATCTCAGTCTGAAATTAGCACCCCTTAATTCCGAGACTGTGCCCTCTGGTCTTAGATTCTCCCTCGAGGGGAAACATACACAACATTTACAACGTTAAGCTACTTAAGAATCTGGTATGATTCAGTGGTATCACCTTTCATACTTCTAAACTCAAGTGAGTAGAGTCCCAGAGATAGTAGGAACTGCAGATGCTGGAGAATGCGAGACAACAAGGTGCAGGGCTGGATGAACACAGCAGGCTGTGTTCATCCAGCCCTGCACCTTGAGTAGAGTCCCAACCTGTTTACCCTTTGCTCTTAATACAATCCTTCCATTCCAGAGATCATCCTAGTGAATCTTCTCTGAACTGTCTCCAATGAAATGATATCTTTCCTTGAATAAGGGGACCAAAACTGCTCACAGTACTCCAGATGTATCCTTACCAGTAACTTATACAACTGCAGTAAGACTTCCCTACTCATACTCCAATCCCTTTGAAAGAACAGCCAACCTTCCATTAGCCTTCCTGATTACCTGCTGCACCTCTGTGTAGGCTTTCTATGTTTCCTATAAAGTATCTCCAGGTCCCTATGTGTGGCAACTTTCTGCAGTTTTTCTCCACTTCAATAATATCATTTTCATTTGTTCTCTCTTACAAAATGAAGAGTTTCACACTTTCCTATAATGTACTCCACTTGCTAACGTTTTGCCCACTTAATTAACCTATCAATACCTCTCTGTAAACTCTTTGTATCCCTCTCATAACTTCCCTTTCCACCTAATATTGTGTTGTCTGCAAATTTGGCTACTGTATATGCACTTCCTTCCCCTCAATCATTAACATTGATTGTAAACAGTTCTGGTCTCAGCACTGATCTCTGTGGAACCCCAATGGTCATGGGTTCCCAACCTGAAAAACAACCCCGTATACCCTCTCACTGTTTCCTGCCCCCCATAAGCCAATTCTCTATTCATGCCAATATACTACCTCCAATAGAAACTTTTAAGCAGCTTTTGGATAAGCATATGGAGGATAGTAAAATGAACCTTCTCAGGATAAACTGATCTTAGTAGGATAACTGTAAACTGTGAGGAGGACAGTGTAGAACTTCAAAAAGACATAGATACTTTGGTGGAGTGGGAGAATAGGTGGCAGATGAAGTTCAGTATGGAGAAGTGTGAGGTGATGCACTTTGGTACTTTGAAGAGATAGTATAAACTAAAGGGTACTAGCTTAAAAGAGTTTGCAGGACCAGACAGCCTTGCATGCATGTATATAAATGGAAGCCTAAGCAGGGTGACAAGTCGGAGAAAAACAAGGATAGTAATCAAAGAAAGAACAGTAAAATGCAAAAACAGGAGACAGGGTAATCAAGGGTGAGAGATGAACAGGGCCACAGTTTAAAGAAAAGTTAGGATGGTTAAAAATGGCAAAAAGGCAAGCCTAAAGGCTTCGTATTTTAATGCACAAGGTATTTGGATTAAGGTGGATGAACAGGCAGGGCAAATCGAGGTAAATGGATATGATCTCACAGCCATTACAGAGACAGTGATCCAAAATCTCTTTGTGGTTCTATTAAATTCCTGCTACGTTTCATGCATAGGAATTGTATTGCATCATTATCCTGCACTATTTCAGAACCAAGACAGTTAACAGCTCATAACTATCAGTAAACTCAATTTCCAACATTGACTCGCTTGCATAGTTATATCACAGCAACTCAGCAGGAATTAAATTTCATAGAAATTAACGTGAAATTGTTAAACATTGTAGATGATCTTGTTGACATCTCTCACATCCACCCTTCGATGTCAACCTCACAGGAAACATTAGAATGGATAGACATAATCCACAGGAAATCTCACTGGCAATGCTTCTCATCCTCCCCCAATCATAGGCCAGTTAGAATATAAAGGATATAGTAAGAACTGCTGATGCTGGAGTCAGAGATAACACAGTGTGGAGCTGGAGGAACACAGCAGGCCAGGCAGCATCAGAGGAAAAGGAAAGCTGACGTTTCAGGTTGGGACCTGATGTGGCCTCCTCTACATCGGTGAGACCAAGCGGAGGCTCGGAGACTGCTTTGTAGAACTCCTGCACTCGGTTCGCGACAAATGACAACATCTCCTAGTCGCGAACCACTTCAAGTCCCCCTCCCACTCCCTGGATGACATGTCCATCCTGGGCCTCCTCCAGTGTCACAATGACGCCACCGAGAAACTGGAGGAGCAGCACTTCATATTCCGCCTTGGGAGCCTACAGTCCAACGGTCTCAATGTGGACTTTACTAGCTTCAAAATCTTCCCATCCCTGGCCTCATCCCATGACCAACCCTCCCTCTCATCCCCGCCTCCTTAACCTGACACAACCTGTCCATCTTCTCTCCCACCTATCCACTCCTCCCACCTCACTGACCAATCCCCACCACTGCCTACCTGCACTCACCTATCACCATCCCACCTACCTTCCTCAGGCCCACCCCTCCTCTCTCTATTTATTTCAGAGACACCTTCCCACTCCCCCATTTCTGAAGAAGGGTCCCGATCCGAAACGTAAGCTTTCCTCTGATGCTGCCTGGCCTGCTGTGTTCCTTCAGCTCCACTCTGTGTTATCAGCTAGAATATAAAAACTTGATCCTCGCAGAAGTGGAGAACCTAAATGCAGGTTTCCCCATTGAGTGGTTGATTGCCATTGAGAAAGCCACACACTTGAATTGAAAAATTATTGTGTAATTCTTGTGCAATTCATATGCCACATTCACACTACAGTGATGTGTCCCAATGATAGTCTTCCTCTCCATTCCACCCAGTGGATTAGCTATCATAGTAGAACTAAAAATAGCAGATGATGTGTTCAGGATGCATCCATGGGATTTGACAATATGATAATTTACGGCAGAAATTTGACAAAGTTCCCAAGGAGACAAAGTGCCGCAGTTCTCATAGAAATGCTCTGTTCCATTATGTAATCATGGTTCTCATCCTGATTTTTTAAAAACTTACTTTCATTCCTATTTGTAGCTTCTGCGATGGACTGAGCAGCATTGTCTTTAATTTGTTCATTGGCATTGC